ATTTAATAAATCATTCAATATTCATATTTTAGTAAGCACAACAGTAATAAGTATGATATATTCGAGAAAGATCTTTCTTTTTTATACTATTTTGTTTTCTATACAGCAACTATTAGGATAACTCCGTCGAATTTACTCATTAATCCAGGTGCTGAATATGATACGCTTGTTCTATAAACCAATGATGATATAGATACGGCAAGAATAGATGATGATTCGATAAAATCCTGATGTAATTCTCATTCTGGCACTGAACAATTTTATGGTGATTCAAATAGTACTCTTACGCAAAGTGTTCTCTTACTTAATAGTACTCAAGGATATACAGAAGCGCCATTGGATAGTGATAATTTATCAGCTTGTAGTAGTTTTTATGAATGAAGGTACTCTCAATGTCATAGTACAGATAAAGCTCAAATAAGTTTAACCTTTCGAATATTGTATCAGTATTTGATATCAATAATGACTACGTCTCTATTTTTCATGCACGAGTAACTGGTATATACAATCATTTTCTCATCCATTACCAGTAGGAACACGTCATATCGATTACATTATGATATTCAATGAACACATAGGTAATTCTATTGATTCATATTTGAATGATAATTCTTTTCAAGTTTATTGATTAGTTTTCAATATTATTTAAACAAATATTTCGAATTAGATTTTATTTCTATACATTCATATCAACTGAAAAAAATCTTCTAAGATATTTAATTTTGTATTTGCTTTGAACGAATAAATAAATTATGTTAACTGATTAGTTGCAAACAAAGAAAGAGAAGTTCAATAATAATTCAAGCATAAACAATTATACGAACAAAGTTCGATGACAACTCACTTAAATCATATCATATATATATATAAATCAGTGAGTTGTCTTGTCGTAATCACTATTTCTCGTTCATTGAACGATAAATATATACTATTCACAGTACATAATGTCTTATTTGATCGATATCTCAGCAAAAGAAAATAAGCATACATTAGTCTTTCATCATCCTTTTGACATTTTTCCAATTAAATATCGAAGGTTATTTAGTAGTACTCGAAAATGTAATTGTTCATATGTTGAAGGTTACATCATTCGCACATAACATACATATATGCATAAAGCTGAACCATGGTTATGATCGATCATTGCCGTTATACACGTGTAGAGAACGATGCATACAAGATGAGACACAGTCATGATGATGATCACTACCTTACTAAATAAAACAAATTGACTCGTGAATATATATACTTGTATATATATATATATATATATGTATTTGTATCACAGTATTTATTGACATTGAAGAAAAGAAATGCAGCATATCACTATCCTACTTTATATTCGTAAATGGAATCCTAATTGATACCACCCGCTTGTATACTTCTAAATAGATCCGTCATTAAATGTATTAGTATCTCTTTTCTTTTTCTCTTATTACTGTGTCAAGGTAAAATTCTTCGTTCTATTCTATGTTGTATTCTCTAATTGATGTTTATATATGTTCATGTATATCTCTAGATCCTAAGTTGCGAGTAATATTAGAAGTGACGACAGTTCGACAGTTAGTCTCTTCTCCTTCATGGATGGCCTCCTAGATAAGTGATGTAATCTTTTGAGAGAATAACCTTGTAATGAATTGATTCTGAGCAGAAAGAAAAAGAAGAGCATAAGAGTGATCAAAAATCTCAATGGATAATATCTTATAGTATATCTATTTACTCGAACAGTAGCCCAATTCTCTCCTTCTTCTTCTTCTTCTTCTTCTTCTTTGCTTACGCTTTTGATTCATTTGATATTTTATTTGTCACTTCTATTCAATCGTAATAGTGAACGATGGTTGAACGTGGGATCGCGTCAATTCATCGGCTTAGACCTACTTATGTCCTTAATTTGTTGTTGTCGTTGTTATTATTGTGACTGAACAGAAGCGAAAAGAACAAACGAGAACGTCGTCTCTGTTGTTGTTCATGATCCTTGTACACGTCTATTTAGATTACTGTCTCATTTTATTTCATTTCTCTGAATTCTTTTTTTTCTCTTTGTCTCTTTTGATCGTCGTCATCGACTCATTCAGATCTGAGAAGATGCACGAAAAAAAAACCTAAGTATGTTACTCGTAATAACAAAATCAAAATAGAACTTAAAAATAATAGAATCATACAAATTTATAGTTTCTTGTCTACACGCCCCTTTTCTTCATCTTTTGCATGTTTACATAGACTATCAGTCTTTTCATCACTCAATCACTACTATGTATCGTAGTATGTCTTTTTAGTCCGTTGTACTCATTCTCATTTTCCTTCATTCTCTGTCGTTCGACGCCACACATATATACATATATGCAAGTATAAAAAGATATGTTTAGTTGATACATACTGCGCACGATCGAACATGTATAATATATCCGATTTTTGATCTCACACCCGTGCACAACGACTACGCTGTATGAACTAATGATGAAAAAAAAAAGAAGAAATGATGATGATAATCACTTTTTACGAACCAAATACTGTCATATAGCGTCCATCTTCTGCTTCTTATCACTTTTTTTTAAAATTTTTGTTCTCAGTGTGTGTCATGTCTAATAATCAATAACAAGAATAACATTACAAATATAGACGATATTTAGAAAGATGTGCATTTCTTTGTCTATGTTCTTGCCTTTTTCTTCTCTTTCTATCGTTTAATCGTAGATCTTGTTCTTTTTTTCTTTTTTTTATTTTACCGTTAATAGAAATTGCGCATGTGTATGTCTCACCAAACCTGTCGCATTACTCTCAAGTAAATGTATATTATGTTATCTCTCATATTCGTTCGGGTAATTCTAAACGTTGTATATATAAATATGAACGCGATTTGTGACAGTTTCGCTTCGTATACTTGAAAAAAAATAATAGAGCAGAGACACCTTGTTCACCATGACGCAATGTCCTCTATTCTTTCTTTTTTTTTGTTTGAAGCACAAAAGCATGAATCTCTTCGATTTATTTTTTAATCTTGATGTAAGTATGTATACAGCAATGATGAATTATAATTTGTGTATATAGACAAGTCTTATTGCCTTTTAGGTTGAATTGTTGAAAAAACAAATCAATGCTACACGCCATATGAATTTAGTCAAATAGCTTAGAGGGTTTCCTTTTTCTTGACCATCATCTCAATTATCATGTCTTCTTTTTCCTCTTTTTTGTTGAATAGTTCCGCTTTATACACTTGTTTGGTCATGACCTTAACAGGAGTGGCTAGCACCATATGAATGACCAACGGCGAAAGAATCGATTACACACCCCGCCGTCTCCAGTAGTCTTTCATCGTCATCATCGATTGTAATCTATAAAAAAAAAAAGCCAGTAATGCTTAATCTGTTCATCATTGGACAATGCTATTAGTGGCATTTTTAGTTGTAGTTGTCAATAACTATATGAATCCTCAATAGAACGTTCGTTTCATTTCATCTACATTTTGTATTCATCAAATCGACACGAGCACGCATACAATATATAAATATATATATACATACATGCACGCAAGCAATAATACTAGGTAATAATCGGCGTCTGCTCTTGCAATTTTTTTTTCTTGTTTCAATAATGATTTACATTCGATTATACAATGCATCCCTCGTTTTTTATTCTTCAGTATTATTTTGATATACCTATATATATAAATCAAATCGTTGTTGTTGAAAGATCAACAATGCATAGAGACTCTTCACTATTCTATTGACTACTATATCCGTCAATGTATATATTTCTTCATCATTAATTTCCAATCATTCTTGATACACACACGCATATATATATGTATATAGCTTATGTAAAAATAAAAGAAAAGGATGGAGAGACAGTATGTTGTTATTAGAGTTATGGTATGGATGTTTGATAGAAATGTCAAATATGCGACATCATTCTAATGAGAGAGTCTCACAATGCGAGACATTATAAGAAAAGTTAATCTATTCTTATTCACTTTTTTTTTTTATTGTTATGTCTTTCCTATCTCTTTCAAATACAATATTGATTGATGAATACGAGATTGTGTTTTAATACACCTGTAATTTTTCTTTCGACATTGATACAAAAAAAAGAAATCCTCTTGAATATGTCATCGATTTTCTTTTTCTAGATAATGTTTCATTATTATCTTTTTTTTCTATTCATATCATTAATTGAATCTTGTCCATTGAAAACAGTTGATAGTCGTTCCGGTTGTTATTGCGGTATTGAAATCGATGGTACAAATTATATTCAATGTCAACCATATTCTATTGAAATCATTCCGGAATTTACTCGTTCATATATTTATGATAAGTTAAATTTATCATTTAATTTTATACGTAATATAACATACGAATCATTTAATAAATTACGAGTTAAAAAAATCTATTTACAAAATAATTTAATTGAATTTATTGATAAACAATCTTTTAATAATAATTTACTTAATTATCTTGAAGAACTTCATATTGATATATTAAATAATGGTAGTTTAGAAGTTTTTTGTTATGGTACATGGCAAAAACTTCGTATACTTGAATTATCAGGTTTTAATTTAAATCAACATCAAAGTTGTTTTGAAAAATTTCATCGTCTTGAAAAATTAATTATAAAAAATTCAAAGATTAATTTTTTATCATCTTATTTATATCAACTACCATATTTACATGAATTATCATTAATTAATAATCAAATTGAATATTTAAATTTTGATATTAATAATAATAATGATAACCATTTAACACTTTCATCATCACCATCATCATCATCATCAATTAAAATATTTAATTTAACATCAAATCAAATTCGTACAATATCAAATGATTTATTTCAACACATGCCATTATTACATACACTTGATCTTTCACATAATTTTATTGAAAATTTACCACTTATTAATCAAAATAATTTATTAAATATTAATTTAAGTTATAATTTAATAAATTATATTCAATTAAATGATAATCAAACTAATTATGATTTATCATATAATCCAATATGTACATTAGAAAAAAGTCAATCAAAAAAAAATTTATTTTTAAAAAAAATTACTCAATTACATTGTGATTGTCGTTTAGCATTTTATCTTAATGATAATTTAATAAATAAATCAAAAATTATAGGAATTAATCAACCATTTGATAATGAAACAAAATGTTCAACGCCAATATCATTTCATGGATTATTTTTAAAAGATTTAACTTATGAACAATTATTTTCAACATGTTCAGATGTTTTACCTGTTCATTGTAGAGAAGTTAATCATTTTCAACAAATTCAAAATTATACAAATTATATTATGGAAACTACAACAACAACTATAACTACAACTACAACATCAACAATACAATCAACAAAAAACACGACACAGAGTAAGTGAACATAAACATAATATATTGATATGTTAAGCTAATTGATCAGTAGTATCAATCGTTTATTTTGGTTCCGACTTCGTGGTTAGTAATACATGTAATAGCGAAAAGTATTGTATGATTTTCTACCAGTGTTACTAAGCTCAAAACATCTAATATCCTTCCTTTTGAGTGTTCACATTACTTTTTTAATACACTAATACTTCATCTATTCAGTACATTTATGTTCTATTATAAAAATTGTAACAGTAGTTAAACTTCTAAATGAATAGATTTAGTACAATAATTCGATCGTTTTTAGTTGTGTTATAAGAATTTTGACAGTGGTTAGAGGACTTACGAAGGAACTATTTCAAGCGATGAATCATTTTACAGTTCGGACTCTATGCAAAAGGTAGACTCGAGTGAGATATGAAAACTTTCGAAATCATAAGTGTCCTTAGATCTTTCCTCCAGAGTTAAGACCGGTTTACTGAAATTTTAAGCTATTATACGATAAGTATCAACCAATTGAATGATGGTATTTCGGCCTGAAATTTTATTGCATTTTCAAAGACTATTCATGTCCTGCGAAAAGTCACAGAATCTTAAAAAAAAAATTTTTTTTTTGGGGATTTAATATTTCATGAAGAAAACATTCTTTTTAATTGAAATTTTCAGAGCGCTCTAGTTATCACTAGGCCTATCTTTGAACAAAATTTCCGATTAAAATACCATCATTTGATTGGTTGGTGTTCATTGTACAATAACCTAAAATGCCAGTAAAACGACCTTAATTCTCGATGAAAAATTTAAGGACATTTATCCTTTCGAGACTTTTTATATCTCACGAGAGTCTACCTTATGTATAGAGTCCGTGTTGGAACATGGTTAATCAATAGAAACAGTTCTCTCGTGAGTCACTCCTTAATTTTGCCATGAATCTCTGTGGTCTTCTAGAAACATTATCTTTTGTGTTTCATAAATGTTAATTTAAAAAAAAAGAGTTTTATTGGTATACTAAAAAGTAATTATTCAACTCTTATGGTTGAATAAAGTCAACATTTGTGATAGTTCGGAATAAAATAAAAAAAAAAAAAACTATTCTTCAAATTTAACGGTCTTTCATAAGAATCGAGTTCAATTTCATTATCAATTATCTTTTTTTTTCTTCTAGTCGATAAAGTTACTCAAAAGTTGAATAATCGTCTTGCAGTATCATCATTTCGTCTAACATCATTTTATACCAGTTATGAAAATCATAGTTTAACAATCTATTGGGATTTTGATCCTACATTCTCATTAAATTCTTTGACATTCATACAATTTCAAATTATTCTTGAACAAGAATCTTCATCAAATACTCAAATTATTCGACGTAGTGGTTTTATATCACCATATCTTAAACAATATACTATTCATCATATTCCATCAAATAAAAACTATTATGTTTGTTTACTTTTAACACGATCTTCTTTTGGTACAGATAAATACTGTCGAGAAGCACGAACAAAAATAACAACAACAACAACAACAACAACAACAATATCTAATACAATTTTATCTA